GAAACTTCCATTTCTTTGTCCAACAGCTGTTTTGTGGAAAAAAAATAAAAAAATCATCAACATCACATGCGTCTTTCATTCTGTGAGGAACAAACTGAAGATCAAGAACATTCTGCATGACCGCAGGTCTGTCTGTAAAGAGTTCACTGGTGGTTTGAGGCATTTTTGAGAGAATTCAGTATGAATCACTAAGCAAATGTTGTATATGGTCACTCCCAATGAAAAGTTTCTCTGGATATTTACACCTCACCACCCCACAGGCTGTTTAGCATACCATACTCTCAACTCCACAAGCCTTTTCGGTAGACACAAAGCAAGTGTTACGTGGTGTTACAGCACAATAAATCGAATAAATAGTGAAGTTACAGGAGCCTGAACTCCCCCTAAGTAATAAACCAAAAATCAGTGATATTCAGGAGCTCCAAAAAACTGTCCCAGGGCATCATCACTTGAGAAATAAAGGTGCACTGAGGGGTTTGCTTGGTAGGTAGAATCAAAACCGAAGGAAGTAAGTAAGTGAGGAAGCATGTATTTCAGAAGTTATTTCCAAGCTGCATGCCATTAGAACTATAGAGTGGTTTCGGTTGCAAGGAACCTTAAAGATTACCTAGTTCTGACCGCACTGCCCTGGTCTGGGACACCTTCCACTAGACCAGGTCGCACAAAGCCCCATCCAGCCTGGCCTTGAACACTTCCAGGGACAGGGGAATTAGTAGGCTAAACTGGCTCCTTAAGTGTATTGCTTTTTCATGTGGCTGTATTTTGGCTTAGTCATTTGTCCCTCAAATCAGGGCAAGCCTACTGACAGACAGAAGTCTGGGTCAAGAGTCTCTTCCCTCTGAAGTACAGCTGAGTATCACTGGTGGTACGTGTACTTTAAGAAAATGTATCCAAAGACGGAGTATTCCCAATCCTATTCCAGTTAGGATATCAATCAATCAAAATGCTCAGCTATATACTTCATGAAGTCCCAGCTGAGAACTATGAAGCTGGAATTACTGTTTTAAAATGAACTTTATGGATTACAATTCATGCTTTCCAGAAAGCTTCCAAAGAACCTCACACATGCCTATTTATTGCTGCAAGATCTGAAAACACAGGATGATTCATGAAAATAGCTGTTACTGTTACCCAAGACAGTCACGATCCAAGTGCTTACTTGCAACTGTACAGATCCAGGCACAGTGTGCCTGTACATCTTGGAACAAAAATTCTCTGGAGAAACAGCACTTGCCCTGATGTTGCAATCCATCATTTGTCACAAGCTAACCTAAAAGCTGCAAAATATGATGCAAGTGGGCTGTTAAATCTTTGTATAGTCTTCATGGACAAATTGTGTTCAACTTTTCTACACATTTGGTTAAAAAATTATACTGAAAACAACTCAAGCACTCTTTGCGATATGGACCAAAGTAGATTTTGGCAGGAAACACACCTTTCCTGCCCTGCACAGGGGACCCAAAAAAAATGGTCAACATTTGCTTAAAATCATTTTCACATGAAAATTCCCATTTAGAGGTTTCCAGTTTATGGTCACTGATTTTAAGTTAATAAGGAGAAGGGTATTTGAATAAAACATAATATAATGCTTTGTAAAGTAAAGCTGCTAATCTGATTTAGGTTGTTTCATTTCCAGCTCCAAGATTCTCTGTTGTCACTCAGTAGCCTTGTTGAAGGCTATGTGTGCCTTGGCACTTTGGGATATTTTTGTTGTCAGAAATTTGTATTAATAGCACTGATGCAAAGAGCCCACTAACGCTCCAATAATGGAAAGTACACATGAAATAAACCAGATTTAAAAACCATCAAGACAATGCATTTTTCTCATTTATTCAAATCTTCTGCAGGAAGTAAACACTGAAAGATTTAAAAAAACTTCACACTGCAGTATGTACAGTTTTGTGACATCACATGAGGAAATTAATTTCTAATAAAAATGAGACCAGTTAGATAAATTACTGAAGACACATCACAATAAAATTGGTTGTGGTAAAATCCCGAAGTCTTATGTATGGCAATGAAAATCAATATTCCTTTGTTTCACAGGGATGGAACAGTCCTGGTACAATATTTCTGTTATGCAAAATGGAGTCCTGAACTTACATGACTGGTTATAGTTGTATGAGTACTTCACGTTTTAAAAGTAGTTTTGTGTTTCTGTTTTTCTTTTTTCCCCACACCCTTTTGATTTGAAGCACATTCTTTCACAAAGCTAAAATACCACAGCAGAAGTCATGTCCAGAAGTGGAATACTGTTGCATTTTGAACTGACCTGACTTGTTAAGACATTTTTTTTTTTGCCAACGCACAGATGCACAGGGTCCCCCATGCACTTTTCATGCAGCAGGTAATCACAACTTTAAATAAAAGTATTTTTCTATACATTCTTCCAGACTTGCAACTGTATACATACATGCAAAAGTTTTTAAACCTATGTGATCATATCTACACTTATACATGGAATATACATAACAAAAAAGATTAAAAGTTTTTGTGTTTTTTTTTTCCTTTCCATTAGAACAATACAAAATATGTATTTTTCATTAAGGAAACCACTATTTACATCACCTTTTAAAAACCAATTTCAACATATTACAGGTGTAACAAGTCAATATATTTACATTATATATAAATATATATAATATATACTTACCAGTTTACTCCTCTGCAAGATGTGGCAGAGAACAAACTGGTAATATCATGTCACTGACGTCAATGAGAGCTGTAATACTTTCACCAACATTTAACAGGGAAAATTTAAACCATTCATTTCTTTCTTTTAAAAACATTTGTAAATTAAAAATTTAAAAACATTATTAAGAGAAATGGCTAAGAAAAGTGAAAGTTATGGCTAAATTCCCTTTTGATCTTGTAATGTTTATAAACCTCTAAACTGAGCCGCTCAGTTATGCACTATCAGTAGAGACACCAGCAAAACACCTCTGATTCTGTAGTCATAGGTTACCCCCCATCATTTTCTCAAACTTTGGCAAAGGAGACACTAGAAATCTGGTTATCTTAGTCCCATACACTTCCCTCTGGAAAGAAAAGGCATATCTGCATAGCAATTGCAAGTCCATCCCCAAATCTAGCTAGCTTGAGTGCTACACCACCACAGCAGTTGAAATGGCATGAGCCTGTAGACACCCCTCGAGTATGGCATCGGGCACTTAGCACCCCAACTGCTACTGCAACCATTCCCAGTTAAGTGAACCTCCACTGCTTCACAAAGGGGAGGCAGCTTTCCCCCAGCAGTCTCCCCCAGCTACAACTGGGATGTCTTCTCCCCTCCCTTCCTTCTCCTTAGATGGCGAGATCCCACACCACCACCCACCTATCCTACACCTCTTTGCCTACACAGCTACTGATGCCAATATCTGACAAGGCCCCATTTTTCTTCAAGCCTATAGTCTAAATGCCTAGCTGACACTTCTGCCTTCCAAGTTTGCAAAGCTATCTGTTGAAGCTTCCACTCCTACAGACCAGGGAATCATACTGGGGACACCTGAAATGCATATCCTAGCAGCAAATGTCTACTGAACCAAGTAGACAGGAGTTGCCAAAAATACTAAGCATTACTCAACAGATGACCTTGGTCTGTCATTCATCTACAGAGATGGGTGGAAATTGAGGATCTTTGAGTTGCTTGGGAAAACATGGCCAGCCCTACCGGTCCATCTGCTGGTGCAACAAAACCCCTCTTTTCTGATGGAAAAGTCCCCAAGGAAAATAACTGTGGCTCCTTTTCACTCACCCATGTTACAAGATAAAAAATGATTAAAGAGCCTTTGGTCCTCAGGTTTAAAGGCTGTAAATGAAGATGGGGTAGAACTCTCTTCCTTAGGGAGGGGTAACGGTGTTACTGGAGAATTTCATACAGAAAACTGTTGTCCTCTTAGCAGCTGACTGAAGAGCATTCAGTTGGCATGTTCTACCCTCTTTCTCTCAATGGCCTCATCATTATCTTACATGCTGCTTAAGACTGCAGTGTCTACAAAAGGTAAGTTTTTTCCATGAACAGCATGTCCTAAACTTAAAATTCTTGTGTATTATACGTTTACTGACGTCTGTGAGAATGGTAATACCTTTCATTAACATCACCTAAAAAGAAAGCTAAATCATTAACCGGTCAAACTGTTAACATTTTAACTTAAATGTTTTATAAAACTTTAAAAACTAAATGTTCAAAAGTATATATTACAACAATAGACTACCATAGAATAAATACATAGGTAAGCACACTCCTAGACTCCGATATTACTGTATGTTAGGGTTAGACTCTCCTCCTTACTTTTTGTCTCAATTTCGTTTTGATGAGGCTTTTCTAACCAGATTTTTTTCACATCTATTCAAGCTGTTTTTTTTTTCTGTGGAGCCCTTCAAATAAATTATAGCCCTGTATTTACTCTGGGGACCATCTATTATTCTATATTGTATATATTTCCTAGCTATATACATGTTGTTTCAAGAAAAATAATCAATTAAGACTTTAAGAGACATTTAATGGATGGAACAAATACCATCTTTTTAATATTTCTGCTGGGTTGACTCATATAAAAAGAATTCAGTTCACTGTCAATCCAAAATATACTTTATCTTGTTAATGATTATTCTGTGAGACATCTGAATTGTCACTGGGCCACTTATAAATGCAGTATTAAAGACAAATAAAATTTTATTTTTATATTATACTTCAGACAATGACATTCAAAATGACGCTAGATTTGTGTGAAGGTTTTAAAATATAAATCTTCTTTGTACAGCCCATTAATATATTACGCTTCACCCAAATAACATAAAAAAATATCTTTAAATTGCTCTATTATTTCTTATATAAACCAGGGGGAATGTTTTATATTGGATACTGACAAATATTTGTGTTCCCTAAAAGAAGCTATCCCCTGGAGGGGCAAAACAGAATAGTGGTGCATTTTCCAACTGGCAGGCAGGAGAAATCCCTTTCAGTAGAGACTGCACTGGGAAGAGGAGAAACTGAGGGGACAACAGCTCACTGTCTCAACAAGCCAGCAGTTTGGGAAAAGGATCTCTGAAACCAAACTAGAAGGAAAAAGAGCAAAATGCCCCGTCACTCACCCCTGCTATGCAAACATGAGATGAACAGAAACAGCAGTTTTGTCATGTCATCAGCTCTCAATGGTAAGAACAGTCAAAATTAAAACAGAGTGTAGCTTTCATTATCTGTGCAAGCCAACTACTTAACTGCCTGCCGATAGCATGGGGGATTATCAGTGAAATTAGAAGCTACAGGGAACACTTTTTTTTTTCCAGGGGAGTAAAAAGTTCAGCAGAACTTATGGTTGCCAATAATGCATGTAATTTAGAGGAACTGGATTTTGTCCTCCTCCTCCCCCGTGAGAAATAAAGGCTGCAAATGGAGTTAACACTTGACAGCATTAACAGGAAAGCAGAGCTGCATGGCTCTTCCCTTGCCAGCAATTCTTTTAAGGTGTCTCAGCTCTGACCGCAATCTTCAGTTACTCCCATCTCTGTCTAATATTGCCAGATGTTACAAATCACAGCACAGGTGGGGATTGAGGAAAAGGGCAGAGGAGGATTTCTCAGACGTGTCCCACTATCCATTACAGAACATGACAAAACCACAATTTTATCCTCAGTGCAACCAGAAAAATTATTTGAAAACCAGGTTTTCTGCAGTGACGGGGTAGTGCATTAAACCATGCATCAGCTGTTCAGAGAGTAATAAATATTGGCAGAATATGGATTCTTTTCCCTGGTTGTAGGAAGAGGCCAACACATTTTTCATTAAAATCCTATTCCATCTTTGAGTGGAAGCCTGAAGTGCTGCTTTAGCACAGTTAGCAGGGCTCAGCAGGGGAAGCAGGATGGTGCTAAACAGACATTTCATTTCACAAACTTCCCACCATTTTCCTCACTAAATATTTGCAACTAAGCTTTCTTAACTGTACTACACCAAGAGGCATTTTGGCTTTCCCCTTTTAACCAGGAAACTGACAGGAATGTGTTGACAAAAGGACTCGTGCAGTACTTGCACGGCCTATGAAAATCTGCCTTTTGTATAAAAACCTAGAAAAGTCCCTTAATCGATTAACTAGTAACTCGTAACTATGGCTAAAGATTTGGAGGATGGCATTTATCAAGAGCAGGGCAAGGAAGAAAAATAGATTTTACACCACTATTCCATCAGGACCACAAACAAGATTTAAAAATAACAATAAAAATTTTGGGAGCACTAAAAAAAAGCATTTCAGTGCATTTCATTTATTAACACTGACACAGGTTTTCTAATATGATGAGCTAATACCTTGGACGGACTGCTCCTTTTCTTAAAAGTTATTCTTAAAATTTCACAAAACATATTAAACATTCAAAAAAAAAAAAGAAGAAAAAAAAAAGTACACTATCTCTATGTTCAGGCTTCCAAAAAGTAAGGATTATTTTACAGAGACGGAGGAAATGCAGCATTAACACCGCCTAGGCTGTATGCTTACACTTTATGTTATGCCAAAAACTTGCAGATCCAAATAAGACTCTGATCAAAAGGTACTCATAACTTAATCTGATACATACAGAAATGTCTTGTACAAATTACAACCTTTCTAGTTTCCTTGTGACAATCTACTGTAAAGCAAATCTTATCTACATGTATTTTAAATAACATCACCAGAAAAATAAAAAGTTTAAAGTTTATCAAATGAAAATATGTTTCAATTAGACCATGCTTTTCTAAAATCATGCTCAATTTATACAGTAGTCAAGTTCGTACTCATTTTTATTTTTTCTTTTTTTTTTTTTTTTTAAACAAAGATTCAAAACCACTGATTGTAAACTCACTGAGGAGGCTGTAGTTTACTCTGGCTCTTTTTTGATTGTTCGCACTTTTTCCAGAAGTCCATGCACTTCTCCATTCACAGCATGCTGATGAGTGGTCTTACTCCCTATATGGCTGTTGTAAGGGCTTCTTAAGTTGGTAAAAGGAGTTTTAAGCTCTGCATCAGATATCAACTCCTCTTTGATGGTAACATGAGTTGAGCTATCAGTAAATGAAGGTCCATTCCAAATTTCTTTGTCATGTGCTTCTTGGCTACTAACAGAGTTGCCGCCTTTCTGTAACATATAGTACAATATTGGATTGGTTTTGGTCAGTCTTGGAGAGTCTTTTTCATAATCATTCTTGTCCATACCTGTGATTACCCATCTGATGGGCCCTTTTTCACTGGGCATGGGACACATGCTAAACTGGTCAGACTCGAGTCTAGATACTGTACTCCCCAGATGTTCAGGGAAGGGGGAACCAGCGGGACTTTTTACTGTTACAGGATACTGAAATGTTCTATGATCTACACAATTGTTCTGTTGCACAGGGCTTCCCATTAACGCATTAACTGATGAGATGCTGAATTCAGGTTTATTAATTGTTGCACTGCTTTTGTTTCCCTTTTTCTTGCCCTCAGCTAGTATGTGATTCCTATGTTGTGGCAGATCTCTCTCACAGTTTTCTGAGAGAAGCAGCTGTTTCAACACATTAAAGCCTTTACTATCTCTAGACCAACTCCTATTTTCACTTTCATTATTTGAACTGTGACTTACAGTGTACTTAAATTCAGCATCACTTCTGCTGAATTTCAGTTCTTGCTGGTTAAGCAAAGGCCCATACAGTGCCTCGGTAGGAGAAGCGTGATTGTTTGCAGCATCAGATGTATTACTTTTCATCTTTTTTAATGGGCTTTCCAAAGGCTCAGCATGAAGCTTCCTCTTCTTCGGTACTGTGCAAAGACTCTTTGATTCAAGGTGTGTCAACTCATTGTTTCGGTGACTTCTGTCTAGCTCATCTGCAGGGTAACTGTCTTGATTCTGCCTCAGCAACCTACTTAGTAGGCCGTTTTTGGAAAAAGAGAAATCTTGAGGTGAAATCGGCTCGGATTTCAACTCCTTGGATGCTGGAGAAGTAGCTGCATTTCTCTGCAGTGAATGTACAAATCCTTGAAATGCATTATCCTTGCCATCTCTTACTTGTTGTGCATTTGAATTATAAGGAATATTTGATTCTTCAGATGGTTCAGTTTTTATTTTCACTGTCAGTATTTGCTCGTTCAAAGCCTTATCTGTCTGTTCTTGAGAACTTTCATCTCTTAAAAGCATCCTCTCTTTCTTTTCACTTTTACCTTTACTGGGAGTTCCCAGAAGCAGCTGAAGGACAGTGCGCCTTTCAAGGAGATTTTCTATTTCTGAACCTGGAATTCCTTGTTCAGCAGGTGCAGGCTGACAATTGAATATTTTGTTATTTTCTTCATGCGTACCCAATTTATTTGTAAGCAGAGGGCTGTTCAATCTATCAATCAAGCCAACAGGTTTATCTGTGTTTCCTGCTAGCAGGTGTTTGCTAGCTCTTTGTTCTTCACTTGACATGGAAGTCTGCATGCCACACTGAGCAAGGTTCTGCAACAGTTTGCTGGCACTGAATGCTGAAGAGTTCTGGGGACTATCATTCCTGCTCAGCTTCGCTCCTTGAATTTCTTTGCTTTTGGAAAGGTCTATCAAATGTTTAGATGCGGGATTCACCAGTCTCTCTGGCTGGATGCTGCAGGCATACGGCGGTGAGCTACGCTTGATGGCTAACGATTGGTGGGAGAGATTTATAGGAGAATCTGCCTTTGTAGAAGCCAGCAAAGGGGGAGTGCTTAACGGAGTCATTCGACTTGCACTGGGACTGTCAGTAATTGGAGTCCTTTTACCAGTCTGTACAGAGAATTTTGCCACATCAGCCGCACTGTGTGGTCCCTGAGGGTCAGCAATCTTGTCTACATTTTCCTCACTCTTATGTCCAAGTAACAGCTGAAGTAGTGTTACTTTCTGATGGGGATTCAGCTTAGAAGCTTTTGGAGTGTCTTTGTCTTCCTTGTTCTCTGGACAGGAAACTTTTGGATCCCAGTTATGAAGCAAGGACTGAGTCAGGTTATCCAGTGATGCAGGTGGACCTGCATCTGGTTTATCTGTCCTCTGTTTAAAAGATAGGTCTATAGGAAGACAGTTAGAATGGGAGCTCTCATCATCACTGCTGTCATCCTCTGTAAAACTAGGATTGTTGTCCGAATATTCATCAATAGTTGTTGGTGTGCTGCCATCTTCGAAATTGCTGGCTCTCTCACTCTGTTCATGCCCTTTCATGTGTTTGGTGGTATTCTGACTTTTCAGCAGATGCAAGAGCAAACTGTTGCTGGGAGAGGTTTTCAGGTTACTTCTTTCCAAAGTACTTTTGTATCCCCCAGTTTTGGAAGATGAATGCATGACTCCCACTGAACTCTGAAATGGTGCCATATTGCTTTTGCTAGATACTGGTTTGGTTGATGATCCTGTTTGACCATTGAGATGGCTTGTCATTCCTTTTGCTAAACCAAACTGGCCAATATCTTTCTGAGTGCTTTCCTGTAATCTGGCCATAGCTGCAAGTCTCTCACTTGCTATTTGATTTGCATTTTGTGCTTTTAAAGCATGTTCCCTGGAATACTGCTGCAAGTGAGCTTCACTCGAAAGGAGTAACGCTAGCTGGCTGCATGCTACACTGGGCTTCGGTGAAGCAGCAGGACTAGATCGTTTCTCTACCATGCTTGCAACAGCTTGCAATCTTGCAGCACATGACAGTGGCTCATTTATCACTTTAGGTCCGCTCTGCACCACATGAGGAGATTCGATAAACCTCTCTTTAGGCAGGTTCTTAGTTATATCAGGCAGGCTGCTGTCCAGCTTCTGATCTTTTGCTTTGCTCTTCTTCAGTAGAGTCTTCAGGTGACTGGATGCAACACCATAGCACCTTAAATCTTTCTCCACTTGTAAAGAATCATGGTTAAGGGAATACCCTTGCTCCTTAAGGCTCTGCCTAATCTGCTGTGACAGAGCAACACTCTGCAGCCTAGAGCTGAATGACTGAAGCAAAGAGGCAAGTAATGTGCTATCCTGTTTGCCTTTAGGCACATTTTCAACCATGCCAGCTAACAAAGCTTCATTTTTTCCATCTAAATCCACAATGGAATCAGACAACCGCCTTCTCTTTGCTGCATTCCAGTCTTCTGAAGACTGCAACAGTCTTGCTTTTTTGAGGTGCAGCATGCCAGATCCCTGATATGTATTTGTGTTAAGAACTGGACCATTACTTTGACAGCTGGGGAATATATTTCCAGAAATCTTAAAGTTTTGATCCTCTCCACTATGCCCAGTAGACTTTTTGTCAACTGAAGTACCTGAGCCTCCTGCTGCTTGATGCATTAGTAATCCCTCTAGGTAAGTTAGAACAACAGAATCCTGGTGCATCTCAGAGCCAAGCTCTTCTCCATGAGTCATGTTCAACAAAAGTTTCCAAAAGGGCTCTGGTTCTATTCACTTCAAAGACTAGTTCTGCTGCAGCTGAATCAAGACGCAGTTAAGAAATAACAGGTAGATGTCTACAGTGCTTTCTCACAGACTTTCAGAAACAGTACAAAACGTCATATCCCAAGCAGACTTCTTCTGGTGTATACTGTTTGATGAGTCAGGTTTCCAATCATATCAATCTGCTGTTACCTAGAATATTTACGGAAGTTGTCCAGGAGGAGCATCAAAATGTGGTTCCACAGTAATCAAGTTCCACTAAGTATTTGCCACCTTCTTTCTCCAGGAAGCCAGCTTGTTTTTCATCTTTTTCCATCTCCACCAAGCACATAAAATTTCTAAGTTAAAAAAAAAAAGAAAAAAAAACAGAAATAGAAGATTTAGGATAAGAGTTGTTTTTTTTTTTTAAAAATCTACAAAGCAAACAACAAAACACATTGTCTTAGAGTTTAAGCATATATAGAGCAATAAATATCCACGTTCCAGAAGAAATGAAAAATTAAGTAATGGAAAAAGTCTACGGTAACTAGTTTAAAAAACTTGGTGAGAGAAAATTTTATACAAAAATTAAGTTTAATTATCAAAAGCACAGCTACTACAAGTATTCATCAAACTTATTTTTCCTACAGCTCAAAATATGGAATAATGTGAAAGGAAAATCTTAAATCACTCTATAATTTTTGACAAAAATTATGCTGGATTATACTTCACACTTGCATCAATATTTCTTCTTACTATGTAAGAATATCCTATTACACAGGATATGTAGACTATCACCCTAAAAGAGAATTAATGGGAAGAGGCTTGCCTAAAATTAACATTTAGGACAAATCTGTATTCAAATAACAGAACAGGCAGCATCATATATATGAATACATTTTCGTTTGGCACATAAATAATATTGCTGAAAGTAGAAACCAAATTGTCACTGCTTCCCAGAACTATCTAGTAATGCAAAATCTAGCATGATAGCACAGCAGGGAGGAAATCTGTTGTTTTTACAACTCCCAGCTACCACAAGTCATTAGAAGAATCATGTGACTGGAGTGGTGAAAAGAATGCTTATGTTCCTGTTATAACATAAATCCTGGTATTAAAATCCTCCCTTCACCAGAGGATTTTTAGCTTCACATTCTTTCTGTGTATTAAATATATAATGATAAATGAAAAAACAAAACAGGACTTCCTTAAAGTCCTGTTATTTTCAATTGTAGTCAATACTTTTATTTCTCGGATGAGGCAGTATGATATAAAAAGCTGTTTTAAAAAACACAACAGTGGCATTTATGTTAGATACATCTCTTCAGTTTTAGTTATATTACTGGTCAATGGTAGCATGAATAGCTCAGTCACCACAGTTCAACATTGAGATCATTGCCCCACACATGCCTACTCCATCACTCATTCAGTTCTAAATTCACAAAGATTCAACATGATCAAAGCTAAGTGTCTTTCCACACTTATAACTACAATTAACTTTCACAGACTAAAAGTCCACTGAAAACTTGTATTTAGAAGTTTTAAAAGTATGCACACAGATGAAATCCTTGCCTCCTTAAAATGAATGAATATTTTACGATTGATTTCCAGAGGCCATTTTTAAATTTGAAAACTACAGGCAATTAGAAGTCTGAAAGTTGTGAAGACTCAGGAGAACATGTAAGTAGCCATAATGCCAACAGCCCATATAATCCCCTCTGCAAAGAATCCCTTACTAGATTTTAAGTAATTTAGAGACTTTAAAAACTGAGCTATATTAAAAACAAAAACCAAAACCAATCAACCAAACAGAAAAATCAAACCAAAATTCAAATCCACTTAAAACACAGCAACATGAAGTTGTAGTGTACATGTGTATACCCATTTATCTAAATTTCAAATGAAAAGATGGTACCTATTGCTGAGGTCTCAGTACTTCTCTCAGAAATACATGTCTACACTAAGCATCATTTACATAATTACCTGTAGAAGACACAATGTTGTTTCAACTATATAACTTGACACTTAAATGTGGATTTATCTAATTAAAAATTACTCTTCCTACAAAAATTTGTGCATCTCTGGGAGGGATTTTGCAGAGTTTCAACCCAAAACAGACAGAACAAATCCTTGTTACACCTTATTTGTGATGGAAAACCAAGTAGTAAATTTCAGGGTCTGAAGGCAATCTCATAACTAAGCACTTCCAGCCAGTTTTGAACCGAGTATGTGTTTCTTCCACTATTTGAAGAGTGGTCATGTGGAAACCAAAGCAGCTTTGGAAATTAATGTTTAGCTGAACACCAAGTCTGTATGTTTGAAAACATACAGACTGTAGCAAAGAATTTCCCTGGACCCACTGAAATGTTAATAGTATTTCTTGTTATTATTATTCTAGAAATTATCTGAACTGAGGAGGCAAAAATAGTGAAGAATAATTCAGAAGAGAAAGGAGAAGCCATACATCAATAGATCTCCTATTTCCCAGTAAAGGCTGAAGAAAACTTACTGCAATTAGCCTCTAACATCAGTCTCTAATACCTCTGAATCTCTACACCTAAAACCTGTATTTATTGTCAATATTGTAACAAACTAAATTGATAAAGATAACATACTTTCTTGACCACGTAACTACTGTATATGCACTCTTCGCTGTTGCTTCAGCTCTCTTCTCCCAGACTTCTGCATCCTAACAAATAAATAAAGCACTTGTTTTGCAGAGGCTATTTTCAGAACCTCCAAGAGCATGCACTGATAACAGCTCATTAAGCCACGTTTACCTAGACAGAACTAAAGCAGCTGCAGAACTTGTAGCACAAATGCTGTAACCAGGGGAGACACTCCCCAAGTGGAGCATACCATGGGAAATCAGTCCTTGCAGCCTTTTGAAAAGTGCCTAAGGAGAAACTGTGTGTTGAATAGGGGAGATAAGAAAATATTAGAATGCACTGTGTATGTCCAGACTATTAATTCTACTTTTGCAGTTGTTGGGGGTTTTTCTTTGATTGCAAACTAGATATACTCAGTCACCACAAAGATGTTAAAAGAATGATGATACTAGTATCCTTTGCTTACCATAAAGTATTATTGCTGCAAAAGACAGAGATGTTTGAGAACACATGAACACATCTAACAGGTCAAACCACAACAACCTCTGAGGCAACGGCTTTTTACTCCTGAAAATGTTACTTTTTTTTTGGAGGATTCTTTTAATTAATGAACACCTCAAGTGTAAAACCTAATTGGAGACTCTGAACAAACAGCATCTCCCTAGTTACCCCAACAGATATTCAGCTCTGCTGCCATTTAAGATCAGTTCACAATTTAAACTAGTAAAATGACATCCACAAGACATTTTTCCAGTATCTCAGACTAAGATTTCTAGTTAAATACCTTTGCTAAATGGAACAGAGACACAGTAAATTAACAACATTAGACTAGCATTATTTGAGCAGGAGAGTTATACAGTCTAATGGAGATAACTCATAAAGCTTGTTATTGTCAGGGTGTCTTCTGTAGTTGAAATTCAGGACGTTATAAAAAAAACCTTATAGAAGCCATTAAGGTTTTTGTTTAGGAAATCAGCAATGGCTAGAAGATTGCCTACATGAAGACTTATTAAAAGAGAGGCTATCCAAACTCAGGAATGATTAATATAGTTTGAAATTTATATATATATATATATATATATATATATATATATATATACACACATATATATACACACACAAAGCTTAACTGCATTTCAGAGTTATTTAATGACTATCAAACTCCTCTAGTAATTTTATGTTCCATTTTTGAGATGAGACAAAATGTGAATTTGTAGAGCTAAAATCAAACTGGTCTGTGAAATTAAAATCTTTAGTTATTTAACAAATTCAGTGTTTAAATGATTAGAAACTACTGGAAGAGCCAGAAAAAGTCTCTTACTGACTGACTTCCCATTCACATATTCCCAAATGTAAAGGCTGCAGCCCACCACATCAACCAATGGCTCTGACAGTCATTTTAGTTATTACAGATTTGAGGAATGCAGTACAGTGATTACAGTGGCAGCTTGGGATCCAGGGGTCCAATTACTTGCTGTGCTGCAGACAGGCTGACTTTTGATTTTATTTTTCTATACTCTGTTTTCCCAGGTGGAATAATAGATGCAAACTTCAGAAATATAATTGAGGATAAATGCATTAAATGCTGTGTGTTGCTCAATAGCTTCAGTAAGTAAAACACAGGATTTTAAGTGGTTCTCCATCCTTACAGCCACCTGCAGTGAAATGCTGCAGAGCACAATCAAATTATGGTCTCCAAAAAATTTCCTAGATGCACTGAAAACTGCAACAGAATCTTGCAGCAAACTAAACATGAGTGGGGAAAATGAGATTACCTGTTCAGAATTATTTTGTTATTAAGCTCAATTTGCACTTTGATTTTAGCAAGCAGAAAGGATGTATTCAGGGTGGCGGTAGAAGCACTTCAGTTAACTCTTTCTGCTAAGGTTGTAACAGGCCTGATCCAACAACCCAGGGTACCCAATCCACAGAGCTGCACAAATGTGCAGGTACTTCAATGGCACTTAAGCATGTGTGTTAACAGAATCAAGTATTTAAGTGCTTTGCTAAATCCCCACTTTGTAGCAGAAATCTACTGAGATGAATGGGGCAGCTGAGACGTCTTCACAGTTTTGATTCGGGCTGTCAAGACATTTTGAAGGTTCCCTTTGCAAATGTAGTTTAAGAGACAACACCACCAAAACCACACACAAACCCACAACAAACAAACAAAACAAACAAAAACCAATAACCCAATGAAACCAAAAGTGATCTGATAGTGGATAGCAAAATTCACCAATAAAAGGGTGTATTCTTCCATGGCTGCACTCAGATGAACTTGGGAATCAAGAAACCTTTTTTACAATGAATTAATTGGGGAAAAAAAAAAACCCAACAAAAAACAACAAAACCCACCGAAAGACCCCAAGGATAAAAACCAAAAACTAAACCATCAGGCTCCTCTCCTACAATCATAGGATATCGCTTCGAGAAAGCAAAAGCAGGCTTCCTTCCCAGAAGCTTGGCATGTTATTCACCCCTTTGTTAGCCCTACTGACTGACTCCAAAAGACATTTTAAACATAGAAAGGATAGCCTACTGCTTTTAAATAGCTAGGTGAGGAGAGGCCACATATCGAATCATGTTGAAGCCAGCAGGAGCCCCGCTGATGCCAGATTACTGGAGGGAATTCTAAGGCCCCAACGCCACCACAAAGGCGGCATCCCCCATCATCCCAGGCAGGGATGCTCCCTCCAGGCTGGCACAGTCCTGATGCCTCTCGAGCAGCATTGCTCACTCTACAAAATACC